CTTTGTGTATCTAATAATTTTTTGTTAAAATCTGGATCTTTTATGTAAAATAATACGGCAACCCTGGTGCTTGATTTCGTTTGAAGATGTATTATCATTTTCTGCCTAACAAATAAATAGCTGGGCTCTTTACCAGTAGAGTTTCAGCATTTCAGGTACAAAGAGTGTCTTGTTCACCATTTTATCCTCAGTACCACAGTTTATAGTACACAATATGCATTTAATCAATAGCTATTTAAAAGGCATAAGTGAGTGAACCATGAAGACTTGCATTATGAAAGTATTTTAGATTTAAAAGAGGGTCACGTAAGTTAACCACTGCTACAGAATTTTAGAATAAGGGTAGGCTTATTTCTGTTCCTGGCATCAATTACTACATCAGAGAGGAGGTAGACTTAGTCTTGAATGATGAATACAATTTCCGTAAGTGTAGATAAGAAGGTTCATATTTGTTGAATGAAAAGGTGAAATATCTGGGTCTCTTTCCTCACTTGTAAAATTAGATTCTTAGATTAAATGAGAGTGTGAACAGTGAACGCAGTGAAAATCTAGGTTTCCCCCTTGTCTCTTCGTAGTACTTCTGAGCTGAGTGAAAAAGCCATTCATTTCTTCCCCAAATCCCAGGGATGTAAGGATGAAGCAGGAATGTCTTTGAAAGTTTTTTGTAAGCTGAAGAGGTGTTAAAAGTAACAAAGGTTATTTTTCTTCAAGTTGTTACTACTTTTCTAGCATCAAGATTTGATGATTCTTCTTTTTAAAGAATTTGAACTTTTTTGATGAACATTTTAGGGCTTTGTTTTATTTAAGAGATGCAAAAATTTGAGGGATGATATCTTTTTTGGTGCTTTTGTCTTACGAGTGATTTGTAGTGTATAAAAGACACTGTGAAAGTATCTCTTGATAGTTTTACATTTAAAAAATGGCTAATAATAAATTTCAGTGTGTTGTTTAGCCATTGTGACTTATAGAGTGAAATTTTTAAAGGTTTGAGTAATTTTTTTACTTGTGTTTTAGTAAAATTTTTGTGAGTTTTCTATCATAAGTTACCAATAGTAATAGGGGCTAACAAAGTACAATATTTGGGGGTGCTTAATCATGTTTGTGAGTTTTCTATCATAGGTTACCAATAGTAATGGGCTAATAAAGTATAATATTGTGGGGGAGGCCTTCATGTAACCAATTTTTTCTTTTTGTTTTAGCCGGAAAGTGAAATTTCAACCACAGCAGATGATTATAGTTCAGAGGTAAGAATAAGTAATACTATAATTAACATTTTATATTATTTTTGAAATTATTATTGATTATTACTACTTTGTTACTTGCAACTCACATTCTGTATTTTTATAAATATAATAAAATATAGCATAACATGATATAAATGACCTAGAAAACCTGGTTTATGTTTTCCTGACATAACCCTTTTTTCAGATTATTATATGAAGTCTTAAATCTATTTGAATAGCTTGCTCCTTAATTAGAGGCTTTGTTTTAGTTTTTAGGAAAGTGGGTTTCTAAGATACATGATTGTTATAAGATATCCATATTTAACACAGTAAACATGTCATATTATAAGCTATTTTTTTTTGAGTAATGCTTTTTACAAACACTTGATTTCTAGTTGATTATGTAAATTCATTTATGGAACTTAGTGTTGCAATAGTGATTGTTAATTTAGGTAATAAAAGCTAATGTAGGCATTGGCCACTATAGGAAATAACCTTTTTTATGGGTTAATAAACATGTGTCATTTTATCTTTTTCATATTCTTTCAGATATGATTGTCATTTTTTTGGTTCAGTATTTGAGGACAGGACATGGAAAACTTTCTACTCTAAATGGTTCACCAACTCAAGTGTATTCTATAAGTTTTGAATTACTGTAGGTTTCTAATGGAAAAAAGAGCTTCATGTACTTAAATGAACTTACTGTTTTAGATTGCTAGTGGGAGTAACAACTTTTACACTTCAAAAGTTTAATGTGTTTAAAAGGTGGAAATATACTTATTAGTGATCTGGTCAAGAAAATAATTAACCAACATTAAATAAATTAGTGCCCAGTTTAGGCTACATAAAGTTGCCTCTATGGGAAGTATGTTAATTTAGAATCACAGCTTGCAATTCAGAGAATCTGCCCTTGTGACTTTAAATTTGGGGATTACATATGAAAACACTGCTTTTCTCTTCTATAATACCTTAATTCTTATAGCTTGTCTATCTTGGTTGAAAGTTTAGGATGGTTTGGAGCTTAAATTGTCTGTCTTTTGGGCACCCCAGGACTCTACTAAGTACATTTTTTTCGTTACACTAAAGTGAAATTTTTTATAAGCCAGATGGCTGCAGGTCAGACCATCTCATACATGCCTGTGAAATTTGATCAAAATTTATATAGCCATTTTCTCACATTGGGATAAGACAGTAAAATTTAATTTCTATTAATGTAGATTTGACTGCAAAAGATATCAAAGATTGTTATTTTCAGGTTTTCTTAATGAAAGTGTAAATTAACAATATTGGAAATTCTTGTTACACTAAGACCTTTTTTTGCTTGAATTTTTTAAATTGAAAAACTAGTGAGGATAATATAAGGTCCATAAAAATGTGTTGAAACTATGTATCTGTGATACCTAATAAATATGGTGTGTTTCAAAAGAAGGTATAAATAATTTTAAAACATAAGTCCTAGTGGGTAAAAGTTAGCATGTTGACCATATTTCAACAATAAGAAATCTATCTTACATATATATATGTGTGTAATTTTATGTATTTACATATACATTACATATGTATATAGTTATATACATGAATAATTATGCACATGAATAAATTTGTACATATTCATCCATACATATTTTTTCAAACAAAAGTTTCAGGAAAGATACTTTACTATGTGACTAATCTCTGATATTTTTTCTTTTTAACGCAGGTTACAGAAACTAAATGATTAGCTGATTCATAACTTGAAAAAATAGTAATTTTGAAGGTTACATTGAAAGATAATTATGAAATAATTTTTGACAGATTTGACCTAATTTTGAGTCATAACCCTTGTAATATTATACATGTTGGACCTAGATTTACAACGGATTATACTTTGAGAAACTTACATATCTCACTGTGTCTATAGAAATTAAGTAGAAAAGTTGATAGTCTGCAAAATGTTTAATGATGTCTCAACAAGATTGCTATGATGGATGCTGCTTGAAACCATGATATTCTGGGCTAGTTTTGGGTCCTTAGCCACTCCATTTAATGACATTGGACTGGTTTGACCGAGGTAGAATTTCAGGGGACTTCTAAGCCACGTTTACCCTTTCAGGAGGCAGAAAAATTATTAGTAGGTTAAATTTATAATACTGAGGAATAAATTTCACACTGTAATACTCTTCATATTAGAACTCATTTCTGAGTAACACCTCAAAAATGAAATTCCTTTCTAGGCAACATGTATATTATAACTTCACTACAAGTATCAGATTTGCGAAGTTTAATGATCTTGGCTATTCTAGTTTGTGTTTGAGTGTTCTTAAAATTTCAAAATTGTATAGTTTTAATCGTAGGCCACATAATTAGTTATCTTGTGCTTTATCTAAATATCATTGTCATTTTTCTGGTACATAGGGAAATAAGGTGATGTAAAAGAGCAGGGTCTTTGGAGCCAAGAAGTCCTGTGTTCAGATTTAAGCTTCATCACCTCTGAGTTGTATGAACTTGGACACATCACTTAAAATCTGAAATACAGTTTCCTTACCTGTAAAGTGAGGGAAATAATGTCTGTTTCATGGGGTAGTTTTGAGGTCTATTTGATATTTTTGGTATATAAAAAAACAATCAGCAAAGCGTGTTTTTTTTTCAACTGCCCTTCAATAGAAATATGCTTTTCCTCACACTAAGTTTATATGAAATGAGTGATGAGAATTCTTTCAACAAATTATTCTTAGGAGGATTTCAGATTCTGATACTATATATTTAATTAGAAATTATCTTGGAAATTTTATGTATATAGATATGATATGAGTTTAATGTTCTTGACTTCTGTGGCTAGTATGTTCTTTGGATTGAAAACTGGATTCAGGTCTCAAAAGAATTAGATGATTTTATCCTATGACCAACCTAAGATCTGTTCTGTATAAAAATATATCCAATTATATATACTAGAGGAATCAGACTAAATAAAAAATACCCTTCTTACAAATTAAATTATACATAGTCTTTTCAGTTCTCGATGAAGGGACATTTCATATGCAGAATGCCATATTTACATGAAAAAAAATTTTTTTTTGACTTAAACAGCAGTTGTTTATTTTCTCAAAGTTCTGGAGGCTGGGAAGTCCAAGATCAGGGTGTGGGCACAGTCAGTTCTTGGTGAGATCTCTCTTCCCAGCTGATAGATATTCATCTTCTCCTGTCTTCTAGCCAGAAGAACTCCTTCTGAGTCCTGAGCTCCCAGTAAAACCTGGATGAGTATAAACACTAGGGGATCCAGACTCAACACCATCTGTGATTTGAGAACCATGTAGCGCTTATCTCTGTGATACTACAGAGGCCACTCACCATCCCTCCTCCTCCCATGCATCCTGCTGAGTCTGAGATGCTGGTAGTGGCTACCAGATATGGAAACGATTCCTACTGCCTTTGCATGTCTATATTCTGGAAAACCTCAAATTGAGAATTTCATTTAAATTGATTGTGGGTAGGTGGTGATTCTGAGTGCCAAACAGCTATTGATTGAGTAGCTCCTATGCTTCAGGCTCTGGATAAAGCAGGATGTTCAGATAAGATCACTCTCCCAAAGCTTGTATGCTCATCTGCAGTGGTAGTCCTGTTACTGGCTGTGGTCCTTGGGGTTACCAAACGCAAGTTTGTATGCCTGACACATAGTGAGGCCAAAAATACCGAAATGTCAAGAGTTTGAAGCAGAGAAAAGTTTACTGCTGAGCCGAGCAAGGAGAATGACTGGCTTATGCCCAGAAAACCCCAAACTGCGTGAAATATTTTTTATTAAACCCTTTGAGCAGAGTTATTTGGAGAAAGTAGGAGATGCTGTAGGCAACATACAGAGATAAGACAAGTAAATACGTTTTGCTGTGTACAGAAAGATGAAATGATAGTAGGGCATACACTCTTATTATGGATTTCATTAGATTATTCAGTACTTCTTAATGAAGTCACTTGTGTGATTCATGACATTTATGAAATGACTGGCTGGAGTTGGAGACATAGCCTATGGCAACAAATTAACATTAACTTGGCCTTTCAGCTTTTACTTGGGTTTCTTTTTTTTTCCCCTCTCCCCCTGCCTCAGCTTTATTGAGGTATATTTGACAATTAAAATTTGTATATATTGACGGTGTACAGTGTGGTGGTTGATATTCATCTTTGAATAAAAGACCTTAACCTTGTTATTTACTTGGCTTCAACTCAAGAGTCAGCTAGGCATGTTGAACTTCTATAGTTTTCATGAACTTTATGAACCATCAGATTCTTATTTTTATTAAAACATTCATTATTAATATTTTTGTATGTACTGCAAATTAAGTATATTAAGAATATGGTATTAATTGTAAATAGTGAGTTACTCTTTTATGTTTTTAAATTGATGTTCATTGAAAGGAAAAGTTTCTGTACTATGACCATTTTATGGTTATAAAATAAAAGTGACCTTTCCTCTGATTCTTTCTGAATAGCAATATTTTTATGAGAGGATACTTAACCTCTACAGAACATTTTAAAATTTATAATGTACCTTAATTGTACTTTCCCAAATCTTTAAGTTGTCTATATAGATTGAGTAAATCTATGAATTCAAAAAGAATGTGTTAATATAAAGGTTAACAAATGCCACAATAAAGAAGACATTGAAAAAGTTTAAGCTTTTTTTTAAGTTGAAGGAGTCTGTTAATCTAATCTTCATGTTTCATGTTATTAATTTACTTTCATATTATGGTTTACTGAACATTGTGTTAGAAGGCTAATATAAGAAGATGAGATAAATGCTCGACCCTTTAGATATCAGTAAAATAATTATCTATATTACATAGAATAATTTATTGCTAACTATTAATGATCCTAATAATCTGTTGAGTGTATTCTAACTTTGAAATATAGTTTGTTCTAGTTTAGTTCTGGCATATACTCTTTTATTACCTATTTACATGATACCAATTTTAAAAAATTATTAATATTGACAAGATTATAAGATGTTAGCAGGGATGAAGTTCAGTTGTACACTGTTAGGGGGAAAGAGAGAATTATTAAATAGATTAATTTGAAATTAATCTCCCAGCAGGTCAGCCCCAGCAACATTCTGCCATTCTGCCATGCTCCTCCTCTACCACAAAATGTCTGTGGTAGACATATATATTCTGAGAAATCTCCACATCTGTCAGGGTTGGCAGGTTATCTTAGTAGTACCCCCAGGGGAAAGTTGTAGAGGGAGGGTTCCTTACCTCTTCATCTCCTCCTACTTCTTCACCTTCTTAACCAGCCTTCAATGTATTTGCACAGTATGCAGTTTTACTTCCATATGAATAGGGCTTCATCAAAAAAACAATTACTTAAATGATTTTAAGGCAGTGTTTTGTAAAAGAGGATCTAGTAACTTGAGGTTTATAGTTATCCTTCTGAAGACAAAATAGAAACTGCACTTAGAACTTTAGAACTTTAATTCACTTAAATGAAAATGTATAGTACAGTGTCTTTTGCATTGTAAACATTCAATTGTTTGAGGAGTTACTAGCATTTGAAATGGTCATAATGTCTTTTAGATGTTTAAATTGAATCACTCTGTCTGCTTTTCCCAGTGAGGCATTTTCCTTGGGCATAAAAAAAATGCATGAATACAGTTAGCATATATAATGACTATTAGCTTTAAATAAAATTCTATCTAAAATCATAATATTTCAGGAGATTGTTTTTATACAGGTAAATGGTTGCAGTTTTGTGATGAGAACAGAAAAGCCTACAGATTTATTAAGGGTACAGTATTTAAAACTGCTCATAATACTAATGTTTTATTCTATTTAAAACCATTTGGCTTACTAACGAGCTTTTTCTTGCATGTACTTTTTTCTGTGTGTGATTTCTAAATGCTTTTAATGTATAACACAACAAAGTTATCCACCTTTTGTGATAAAACACAATTGTAAGAGAATTTGCAGATGTCTAGTTTTTGCTCTTTTGAGGTATATGTATCACATTAACAACAAAGTAATTTGCCATATCAGTAAATTCTTAGGTGATGAGTGATGTTTTAGAGTGGACTTTGCTATGGGATTCAGTTTTTGAATCCCTCTTCCTAAGGGAATGTTGCTGGTACTCTATTATTAAAAATCTGGATTGGTTTAGGAAGAAGAATTTGGTGTTGATGATTCTTACTCTGAATACGGAGCACAGTACAATCAGACCCACCTAGAAATGATGGAAAATGAACTGGCAGAGAAACAACATGAGGTTGAAGAGCTAAACAGAGAATTAGAAGAAATGAGGGCCACCTATGGGACTGAAGGACTGCAGCAGGTATGTTTACCTTATGTGGCTTTTAGTTTGTTACAAAACAAAAGTAGGAAATTTTTGTGATAGTGTATATGTACATTCTTTAAAGATGAATTTTTTTAAAATGGTAACTTAAAGTCGCCTTATGATACTTGTCCTTTTACATGTCGTAAACAACCTCATGTAAAACTCGGACTCTGTTAATAGGGCTAATATAATGTGGATATTGTATTTAACTTAAGGAGATAGCTAGGCTAAAATCACTTCAGTGGGGATAGATGTTTTTGTAATCAGCCTGAGAGAAAATTATGGAACCACATGAATATATTATGACTTAAGCTCATTAAAAATGTCAGTGAATCTTTGTAAAGTTAACTTCCTGTGGTTCGGATGACATCTATTGTTTGTGGCAGTCACTTTTGAAAACAAGGTGAAATAAGACATTGATTAGGATGATAAAGTACATTTCAGTTTCATACTCTCCAGAAATAAGTGAGGCTTAAACACGTCTATGATGATGATGCGTACAGATTGGGGCATCCCTAAAAGCAAAGGCACTTACCCTTCTAGAAGTAGATACATGGCTAAGTCAGACCTAATGTATTTTGTTCCTTAGTTCAGATAAATTTTTTAAAGTTGATTTGTAAGTAAAGCTAATTCCTGTAAGCTAATAGCTTTCAAGTATGGAAAAGTTTGCTTTACAAATTGTAATAATTCTGCCAGTGCCTTTTGAATATCATATTTTTGAAGGAGTTACCTGAACTAATATTTAATTTTGTTTGAAAAGTAAGTCTAGCACTTTTTATTTTCACTGATGTCTTTTAGTTGCAAGAATTTGAAGCTGCCATTAAACAAAGAGATGGCATAATAACCCAGCTCACTGCTAATTTACAACAAGCAAGGAGAGAAAAGGATGAGACAATGAGAGAATTTTTAGAGTTGACGGAACAAAGTCAAAAATTACAGATTCAATTCCAACATGTAAGTATTACTAATAAAACAAAATGTATTAAATTTTTAGTTATGAATTAACTTTTTTCATACTTTACAGAACAAATATAAATTTGTTTAAAAGCCATTTACTTATGATGTATCATGTTGGCAAAACAAGTGAATACCTCTTGTTATGTTAACCAGAAATTTAATTCATGCTTCTTGGGTGGTTTCATGCTATCGTTTTATTTGAACTTCTTCCTCATCTGTATTTTAAAATCCTACAAAATCTTGTAAGTCTGATAAGGTGAATTTTTGCAGACATTAACCTGTAGTCAACCTTTGCCAACTCTGGTATGATTTTATTTTACTTAAGTTCTAAAATCTAAGTGGACTGAATACATTCTACTTACCTTTAATTAGAGTCATGGCAATCTAATTGTATTAATCAAGATTTCTGATGACAAGTAACAGAAAATAATTTGAAATAGCTTAAACAAAAGAGAATTTATCAGCTTAGATAGTATACCCTTCTTATCAGCTTTGGCAGCATATTTGCTGGGTCTCAAGCGTGTGAATCTAGCACAGTTTCCAGAGAGCAACTGTGAGCTGAGTAACACCCTAAATGATGCCTGTTCCTTAGTGCCGTCACTTAAGAATTTAATACTTTGGGCTTCTTTTTATTTTCAAGTTACAGGCTAGTGAAACGCTGAGAAACAGCACTCATAGTAGCACAGCTGCAGATTTACTACAAGCCAAACAACAGATCCTCACTCATCAGCAACAGCTGGAAGAACAAGACCATCTATTAGAAGATTATCACAAAAAGAAAGAAGACTTCAAAATGCAAATTAGTTTCTTACAAGAGAAAATTAGAACATATGAAATGGTATGTTTATTTTAAGGAAATCAACCAGTGTGTTTTACAATTAACTTTAAAGTTTTTTATGCAAATATTTATCTTTCTGTTATACACATGAATCATAAAATTTCATAATTTGAGAAAAATTCTTTAAGTATGTAAAATAATTTTATTTCAAAGCAATTGGGAATCTTGATAATAGGTTTTAAGATAATACTCATAACTGAGTTCCTTGAAAGTGATCAGCCTGTGTTAAACTGAGTTTTCAGGAGAATCTATAACCAGAAGTTTTGTCCTTTTTTTCTTTTCATGAAATTCTGAGAATGTTTTCTTCATGAAATGAAGTTTTATAGATTTTAATTAGAAAAAAATCAGATCTCTTTATTCACGGAGTTATGTTTTATAGAGTTGCCTGGAACACTTATTTAATAAATAATGCTTCTAAGGGAGATACATATACACATACATACACACACATATATGTCATGTAGATTATAGTCTTAAATCCTAAAAACAACTCACCCTGGTGGATTATATTTTGTTTAATTTTCAGAAGAGAAAATGAAGGTTAGAAGTATTAAGTGTCTTGCCTGAGGCTACCCTCTTCCCCCCAACAGTTGCCAGAATCAGGATTCAAACCCCATGCAAGTGACCCAGAGCCAGAATTTTTTACATTACACTGCACTGCCCCCTACCTTCGCCATCCTTGCAGTGTCCATCCTTGTCCTCTCCACATGAGAGATAAAACAAGAAGACAGTGTGAGATCAAGCTGCCTTGATGTCAGCTGGAATCATGTTTAGCAACCCAAATTTTTTACCACCTTGTAAACTTCCGCAAATGACTGCGAGTAATGATTTGGGGATTACAAAATAAATGTAAGCAAGTAGGCAAATTTGCAAATTGAAATCTGTGAATAATGAGGACACACAGTACACACAATGCAGTACTTTTTATAAACTTAGAAGGTTCTTCTGGAGGAGGTTGAGAAATTAACAAGGAAGACTATTGTTTGGATAATAATAAAAGTATTAGCTAGCATTTATTTTTATTTACTTGGTACCAGGCAGTATTCAAAGCATCTTACACATATTGAGTCATCACAACAAACTTATGAGGTCAAGATACCATTATCATTCCCCTTTTACAGATGAGGACACCAAGGCAAAGCATGATGAAATAAATTGCCCAAGTATACAGGTAATAAATTGGTATAGCCAGATTTCAAAAATAGGTAATCTGATTTCAGAGACTGTCTCTTAGGAAAGTAGGAAATATACAATTGTAAGATATTTAAATTATGAAATGGACATACTTGACAACCATGGTAATTTTGAAATCAGAATGTTTACAGAGTGCCTGTTTTATATCAGGCTCTTGAAAGAGAGAGTGATGCTTAGATGTGCTTTTTTTTCTTCACTGAAACCAATGGTTTAGTAGGGCATGTATGCAAGACACCACAAAACAAGGATACGGATGAAAAGTGGTTTGAAAGTTCTTGATAGGTCTGGCTTCATAAGGGAGGTGATTCAGTAGGCCTTAGCAGGGAGTTGATATTCGAGGTAGGTCTGTAACTTGAAACAATTCTCTTTTAATTGTGTTTTGTTTCCTCCATAATTGGTATAATAAATTGGCACATAGCATATACGTAATACTTAATTTCATAAATAAGTGACTAAATTATTAATCTGAACTGATGAGATGGGGAAAACATTTTAGACAGGGTGGAGTGTGCATAAAGATCCAGACCAAAACACGTTAAAACATATATAGGAATTAAAAAATAGTTTAACGAGAAAACAGTAGTTTTTGGAAGTGAGTCTTCAGGAGATAAGAGTTGAAAGGAAGTCAAGGCCAAGGTTGGAAGAGCCTAGAAATTGGATTTTATTGTATTTATTAAATTATATTCAGTAGGCTGTATAATTTGTGATTATTTAAAGTTCAGGTAATTCATTTTCATAGGGGGAATAACCTTTGTTTATTTGAATGTTAGCAAGAATACTTCTGTTATCAGTCCTTTTTTCATTAAATGTATTTTTTTTTCCTTTTTTCCCTCTTTGAATTAATCCTCCTGAATAGTAGTTTCATTAGAACAGCTGAGGGAATATGGCATTAGGATGGTAGTTGGAACTGTCTTGGTCTCTGAAGCAGCTGCATTGAATGTTTCAGTAGCATTCTTATTGTCCTAATCCTCTGAACTTCACATGGTGCATTAGTCACAGGCAAAGACTGTATTTCCTACTCCCTCAGGTCTGTTTCCAAAAAATAGAAGGATTGCATCCTTAACCACAGAGCTGTCTTTTTTTTGTAAAACAATATAAGTGGTTTAAAGCTATGTACTTTGAAGTAAATGGCGCTAAAAGAAATGAACCATGAATTTGTATTATTTAATAGTTGAAGGAAGAACTGTTTGCAGTAATATTAGGTGTTGCACAATTTTGAGTTGAACTGTAAAGAATACATAGTACTCTAGCTATTGAAAATACTAATTACTTAGATTATGGATCAGTTAAGGATGAAAATATGCTGGTTTAGACACATTTTAATCCAACTGAATTTTTAAATTAAAAATGTAATCATAAAAATGTAAGAACATTTCTTCCTCCCAAGGAGGCCAACCCTGCTGTAATGTTTGCTCATAAGTAGTGTTGGCTACACAAGTCCTGTGTCTCATTGACTTGAGAAAAATTAAGGGGCAGGCCCAGCAGTTACTTTTATAGAATAATGTAAAAAGTATTCTATCAGTCTTTTGATAATGGGGTTAAATGATACAAGTTACTAGGAACTAAAAATGCCATTTTTATATTTACCTTTTTTCTGTCTAAGGAACAGAATAAAAAAGTAGAAAGCTCAAATAAAGAAATACAGGAAAAGGAGGCAGTCATTGAAGAATTAAATGCAAAAATTATAGAAGAAGAAAAAAAATCTCTAGAGCTAAAGGATAAAGTAACAACTGCTGATAAATTACTAGAAGAATTACAAGAACAGGTTGTACAAAAGAAGCAAGAGATAAAAAATATGAAATTAGAGCTGACTAATTCCAAGCAAAAGGAAAGACAGTGTTCTGAGGAAATAAAGCAGTTAATGGGGACAGTTGAAGAACTTCAGAAGAAAAATCATAAAGATAGTCAATTTGAAACTGATATCCTACAAAGAATGGAACAAGAAACGCAAAGAAAGTTAGAACAACTCCGGGCGGAGCTGGATGAGATGTATGGGCAGCAGATAGTGCAGATGAAACAAGAGTTGATAAAACAACACATGTCACAGATAGATGAACTGAAAACACGACATAAGGGAGAAATGGAGAATGCTCTAAGATCATACCCAAATACTATAATTAATGAAGATCAAATAAAGTTAATGAATATGGCAATAAATGAACTGAATATAAAATTGCAAGATACTAACTCTCAAAAGGAAAAACTCAAGGAAGAACTAGGAGTAATTTCAGGGGAAAAGTCTGCTTTACAGAGACAGCTTGAAGACCTTTTTGAAGAATTGAGCTTTTCAAGGGACCAGATTCAGAGGGCTAGACAGACAATAGCTGAACAAGAAAGTAAACTCAGTGAAGCACACAAGTCCCTTAGTACAGTGGAAGAATTGAAAGCTGAGATTGTTTCTGCATCTGAATCCAGGAAGGAGCTAGAATTAAAGCATGAAGCAGAAGTTACAAATTATAAGATAAAGCTTGAAATGTTAGAAAGAGAAAAGAATGCTGTATTAGACAGAATGGCTGAGTCACAAGAAGCTGAGCTAGAGAGGCTGAGGACACAGCTTCTGTTTAGTCATGAAGAAGAACTTTCCAAACTGAAGGAAGATTTGGAAATTGAGCATCGAATAAATATTGAAAAACTTAAAGATAACTTAGGCATTCACTATAAGCAGCAGATAGATGGCTTACAGAATGAAATGAGTCAAAAGATAGAAACCATGCAGTTTGAAAAAGACAATTTGATAACTAAGCAGAATCAATTAATTTTGGAAATTTCAAAGCTAAAAGATTTACAGCAGTCCCTTATGAATTCAAAATCAGAGGAAATGACTCTTCAAATCAATGAACTTCAAAAAGAAATTGAAATACTCAGACAAGAAGAAAAGGAGAAGGGTACCCTTGAACAAGAAGTTCAAGAATTACAACTTAAAACTGAATTATTGGAGAAACAAATGAAGGAAAAAGAGGAAGACCTTCAAGAAAAATTTGCACAACTTGAAGCAGAGAATAGCATTCTTAAAGATGAAAAGAAAGCCCTTGAAGACATGCTGAAAATACATACTCCTGCTAACCAGGAGGAAAGATTAATTTTCATAGACTCCATTAAGTCCAGGTCCAAAGACTGTAACTGGGAAAAAGAAATAGAAATACTTACAGAGGAAAATGAAGACCTCAAAAAACAATGTATTCAGCTAACTGAAGAGATTGAAAAGCAAAGGAACACTTTTTCATTTGCTGAAAAAAATTTTGAAGTTAACTATCAAGAGTTACAAGAGGATTATGCTTGCCTTCTCAAGGTAAAAACTGATTTAGAAGACAGTAAAAATAAACAAGAAGTAGAGTATAAAAGTAAGCTTAAAGCTCTTAGTGAAGAGCTTCATCATTTACAAAGAATAAATACAACTACAGTGAAAATGAAAACTTCAGTCTTTGACGATGACAAAACTTTTATAGCAGAACCTTTGGAAACTGGTGAGGTTGTTGAGAAAGATACAACAGAACTTATGGAAAAACTTGAGGTAACTAAGCGAGAAAAATTAGAACTGTCGGAGAGACTGTCTGATCTTTCTGAACAATTAAAACAGAAACATGGTGAGATTACTTTTCTAAGTGAAGAAGTTAAATCTTTAAAGCAAGAAAAAGAGCAAGTTTTATTGAGATGTAGAGAGCTAGAAATCATAATTAACTGTAATAGGACAGAAAATGTAAATTTGTGTGATGTCCATTTAAGCTCTTCAGAAGATGGAGTTTTGAGAAGCAGGGATTTTGGAGGGTCAGTTTCTAAAATAAATAAAGATTTTGGTGAAGATTCAGAAATAATGGAAGAAGAGAAAATTGCTTTTGAAAATATGACTCTTGGAAAAGAAAACAAACAAGAACAGGTTTTGGATCACTTGCCGTTAGTGACAAATGAATCATCTCCCGGGGCAGCTGAACCAAGTGAAAACGATAAACTTCAGCTGGAGCTCAGTGTACTTAAATCAGAACAGGTATGTTTATTATGTATATATGCTAAAGTGTACACTTCATACTAAAAGTGTTCATCTTCGTAAAGCATAAATAATTTCCTTACATGAAAATGAAAGTAGACCCTGTAGTCTAATTCTCATTTGGGCATGTCATTTATTTCTCATTTCTTTTTATTTATTTTTTTCTTAAATGTTGTTGCCTGTCATTTAATCTATATTATACATTCTGCTCAGGAAATAAAACATAGTAATGGTTCCACATTGTCTCTGAGAAAGGAGTTTAAATAACTTTGTTGAGAGTCTGAGCTTTAGAAAAGTTATTTTGTAATATTGTGTGGTAATCTCAAAGATTGGTTTCAGAGTTTCATACTCATATTTATATTGGTGTTTTTTCAAGATTCCACAACTAAAAATGAACTCTTAAACTTTATGGTACTCCATATAGTTGTTCAGTAGTTATGAAACTATATTTCTGAGGGAAAAAAAATTCAATTTAAGTCCTAGAGTTTTCTCAGAGTTTTGTTATACCTAAAGAGGGGGGAAAAAAAGTAGTAGTCTACAGTTAAAAGAATGCATGTAATGAATAGTAATAGATTACTCTTGACAATTTGTATTTGCCAGATACTGAAATGAGAAATAACAGGAAAATTCTGTCGTGTATAATGGTGCTAACTAAAGCTTTATTGTGTCTTCATTTCTGCAAAAAGTATTTATTGAATCTCTTGCCAGGTATAGGAGTACAGTGGCAAAAAAGAGAAAGAAGATTTCTGTTCTCAGAAATCATATATTCTAGTAAGGGAGGCAGTCAGTAAATGAAGACATCAAGTAGAATAGTTAGAAATAGTGGTATTTTTTAAAGGAAAGCGAAACACATAATGTGATAGAGAATGATTGGTAGTGGTGGTGGCAGTATTAAATAGGGTCACGAGGAAAGGGCTCTTGAAAGAATTGACTTTTAAACTGCTATCTGTATGACAGGGAGAAGCCTACCACATGCATATTAGACAATCGTGAAGACACAGATGAGTTTGAGGAACAGAGTAAAGGCATGTTTAGATGAGTTTGAGAGAGGGAGAGTGAAAGAAGAAGAGTTAAAAGAAGGAAGAGACCAGATTTTGGAGAGCCTTATAAACTTTATAAGAAGTTGAGATTTTATTCTATATATAGTAGGAAGCCATTTGAAAGTTTTTTCTTTTTACTTCTAATAAATATATTCACATTTATGATGTTATATCAGATGTAAAAATATTGTACATTTTAATCACCAAAATAGAGTTAAGAAGTTGAAATTGTGTAACTATTAATGATTTGTTAAATATTTGAAATTGTTTTCAGAATCATAATATGGTTTTAATTTAATTACTCCTTAAAATGCCAGAGATCATATAAATTTTTTTAAAAAGTATTACTGGAAGAGGACCTAAATTTGAAGCTGTCAAAATGGTCAAATTTTCTCAGTAAGAATTTTCTCTTAACTAGAGACGTTTTCAATGACATTCAGATACCGTCTCTTTAATATTAACTTGCATGAAGTAAAGGGAGGCAAACTTGTATGCTGTCCTTGCCCACTCATCACTGCCAAGACAAACTCCTCTAATGGTAGGGTGACATGTTAGGTGTGTGTTTGTGGAGGGAAGCTCACAGAAGAAATTGAGCAATAATTTACACAACAATTACACGTAAGAGCTTAGAAGTAATGCTGAGATGACAAAAATTACTTCTACTCTTGGGACTAAGCCAGTTGACTGATAAAGATGAAAAGATACTTTCAGGATTATAATTGACATAAAATAGCATTTTATACCTTTCAGATTGGCAAAATAAGTCTCAGTAAAAAATGTGATGAGAAGATGGGGAGATGAGTGCTCACCTACACTATTAAATATTAGTGTAAATTGTATATTGTATAAAATATAAAATCATATGAAAGTAATTTCTTAAAATTTTATGTACTTAATGTACATTAACTGTAACTCAGCATTTACATTTCTAGGCAGTACTCAGTATAGTCTCTTACCAGCAGCATCAGCATCACTTGGAAACAGGTTAAAGTTCAAATGCTGGGGCCCACTCCAGACCTCCTGAACCAGAAACTCTGGAGGAAGGGCCCAGTA